CTTGAGGCCCAGCCACCTGCTCACTCTGACGCGCGGCAACATCATTCCGCCTGCGCCTGGAGCGCGCCGCTGGCGGTCCCTGCTGCTGTTCCCGGACAACAAGCCGCAACGGAGCAAGACGGGTTTCGCCGACGTTGGGGTGATGCTAGACAGCGGTTGGCTTCAGTGTGCCACGCCCATCTTCCGAGAGCTCGCCCGAGGGGGTCCAGATGAAAAGGTTTGGGAGTTCAGCTGCCCGCAGTCCCTGGCTCTGTTCAGGAAAACTCTGTCAGACCTGCAGGTGCGAGAGCACATAGCGCCATGCCAGGCTCGCCATTCGGGCCCAAGCATAGACAATGCAGGGTGATACAGGACGATAGAGGATCCAGAAGGCGGAAGCATGCCAAGTCGATGCAGCGGTGCGAGAAGGCGGCGCGGCTGGGTCAAAGCTGGTCGCTCCTCCCGCCCCAGCTGCAAGACGCGCTGAGAGAGTGCGAACAACGTCTCGAGGACATACTAATCGGAAAAGGTGCCGAGGCGATTGCCCTGTGAGGCGGCGCGGCCGCCAGCGTAAGTATGTCCTGGACTTGTTTTCGGGCTCAGATTCGGTAGGCAAGGCGGCGTTGAGGCGCGGTTTCAACTATCGTGGTTTCGACAGCCTCAACGGACCCCAAGAGGATCTCACCAGGCCTGTTGTTCTTGCCCGAGTTCGCGCCGCCATAGGCCGTAAAGAAGTCATTGCAGCATGCCTTGGGCCTCCCTGTGCGTCTTGGGGCACTGCCGCAGATAGGGGCCGCCAACCCGGTCGCTCGACAGATTTTCCCTGGGGCATACCAGACGCCTCAGACTATGCTAAACGTAGGATTGCACAAGGCAGCTCGACCTTCGCAGCAGCTTCGAAGATCATGAAAGCGGTCGTGCGATCCGATGTGCCGTTCTGTTTTCGAGCATCCGATTAGCAGTCGCGCGTGGCACACCTCTGAGCTCCAAGCCTTGTGCGATCAGCATGGAATGCATTCTCGTGTATGTGATCAGTGCCAGTTTGGGGCCCGCTGGAGGAAGCGGACTCGTCGTTTGTTCTTTGGCGTTGACCCCCAACATATTTTAAAGCTTGAACGGCGTTTTCACAGTTTCGGAGGTGTCTGCTCGGCTTCAGGGAAGCCTCGCGTTATCCTGGAGGGCAAGGCCCCCTCGGGGGCCACGTGGACATCTCTTGCAGCATCTTACCCGCCAAAACTAGCTGACTGTATCGTGAACTGTTTACTGAGCCGCCACAGGGACCTTGAAGCGGCCGCCTGCCCTTAGCCCACCTCACCCTCCCAGTGAACCCGTTGGGATATTTGGCTGTCTGTTGCGTCTCTGCTTCGCCAAGACGAGCGGCATGTGGTAGCAAAAATGTTCCCCACCGAATGTAGCAGTTAACCTGTCAGTGCGTGCACGGGAAGGTTGTGAGCGTAATGACTTGATGGCGCAGGTCAAAGAACGAACCTGTTTAAACGGGGGGGCCCTGGACTCCATAGCCTTTCTTCGGTTCCCTCCCTCCCTTCTGTCCCCCTCAACGATTTGTCGCCAGGCTGTCTGTTGCGTCTCTGCTTCGCCAAGACGAGTGGCATGTGGTAGCAAAAAAGTTCCCCACCGAATGTAGCAGTTAACCTAGGTGTATTTATCTATGTGGTGTTGCGATATGGTGTAAGCTATGTGGTGCCATCTAGATGGTGCGACCTATGGGGTGTTAACCATGACGTGAAATATTTGTGGTGCAACCCGCGTGGTGCGATATATGTGGTGTAAACCACTTTGACTGTATTGAAGCTGTCCTCTCCACTGCTCGTGCAAACATCCCACCCACCCACCCGCAACTTGGTTTGCAAAACCTCTTAAGACCGACTACGACGACACCGACGACAACGACTAGGACGACACCGACGACGTCTCCGACGACTTCGACGACGACAACGACGCCGACGCCGACGACGACGAAGACGACGACGACGCCAACGAAGGCGACGACGAGGGAGGAGGAAGGACGACGACGGCGACAACGACGACAATGACAAGAGAGGAGGGAGGACGGCGACGACGTGAACGGCGACGAAGGAGGAAGGACGGCGACGCCGACGACGACAACGACGAGGGAGGAGGGAAGACGACGACGACAACGACGACAACGACGAGAGAGGAGGGAGGACGGCGACGACGCGAACGACGACGAAGGAGGAAGGACGGCGACGCCGACGACGACAACGACGAGGGAGGAGGGAAGACGACGACGACAACGACGACGACGACGGCGACGAAATAGTAGGGACGACGACGAGACGCCGACGACGGACGACGACGACGACGTGGGAGGAGGAGGAAGGACGACCACGGCGACAACGACGACGGAAACGACCACGACGCCAAAGAGGACGACGACGACGAACACGAGAAAAAACAGAGGACGACGTAGGCGACGACGACGACGACGACGCGGGAGGAGGGAGGACGGCGACGACGACGACGACGATGCAAGAGCGCGCGCGCACGCTTTTGTTGAAAATCCGTGTTGCGAAACCTTGGGCTTTTGTATGTTTTTTGGGACGCACGATTTTGAAATCCTTCCGAAACCGATGGGTTTTGAAGGTTTTCGGCATACGCCCGCGACGACGCGCGCGTCTGCACTTCGTTCCGTTTTTTGCAGAGGATTCTCGCGACGGCACACGCGCAAGGGCGTTCGACAGATTTCGACATGCGCGCGTGCGAAGCCCGTTTGATAGCATTTTGTGAAAATCTTGAAAAAACCGATGGTTTTCTTAAGATTTCGCAAGAGCTCGCGCGGAAGTTTTTTTAGCAAATCAGTGTTGCGAAATCATGTGTGTTTTGTTTGTTGTTTTGGAAACTCGGTTGCGAAATCCTTCCGGCACCGAAGGTTTTTGAAGGATTTCGGCATGCGCGCGCGACGACGCGCGCGTCTGCATTTCGTTTTTTTTTTTGTTTTTTTTTTTTTGTTTGCAAGGGATTCGTGGAAAAGTGTTATGTTAGAACAAAACATGTCACCGCATAGTTTTTTATAAAAAAGGAACCTCAGGGGGGGGAACCCGGCCTAGCTGGGATGGTATGGTTTCATATGTAGGATGGACGAGTGTGCAGAATATGTAGGAAATCAGATGATCCCAGGGGGAGCTGATAAGTCCGGGTGGGGGGTGGGGCAGAGTCTATTCCTTTTTTTAGAAAGGAGAATCTACGTGCTGCAATATGTTCGGCGTAAGCATTGCAATGCGATGCAATGAAATGCATTACAAAGCTATGCAATGCGATGCTCTGCGCTTCAAATCAATGTCATGCAACGCAAACAATGTAAAGCAATGTACACCAATACAACACCATGCAAAGCAATGCAAAGCAATGAGGAGCAACGCAAAGCAGCTTAACGCAATGAGAAGCAATGCGAGGCGGTGCAATCGATGCAACACAATGTGACGCAACGAAAAGCAATGCGAAGCCATGCGAAGCAGGGCAAAGCACATCAGAGCAATTCGGAGAGCGAGCCTCGCATCATCCAGACCGTGACCAAAGTGGTGCTGCGACGGACGGCGGTGACGGGCGGTGACGGGCGGCCACTGTGTGCTTGTGTGTTGTCGTGTTTGCGTGTTTGTGTGTTTGCGTTTGTGCGTGTTTGCATTTTTTTGTGTGTTTGCGTGTTTGCGTGTTTTTGTGTGTTTGTGTGTTCGTGTGGTTGTGTGTTTGTGTGTTTGTGTGAATGCGTGTTCGTATGTTTGCGTGTTTGTGTGCGTGCGTATCACCCTACCCTTCCTGGGCTGTGGGCCTCTTCGGAGCGCCTTCGGTGGCAGTTTCGGGGCCTCTCGGCGGCCACAAAGAGGGGCGGACCGGCGCACCGTTCCAGTTGCGGGCCCCGCACACCGTCAAAGTCGCGGCCAACGTGGTGCGGCGACGGGCGGCGGCGACGGGCGGCCCCAGGCCTCAAGTCGGGCCTGTTCCTCTACAGGGTAGACAGACAAAAATAGTCAAAAAATGATCTGGGGATTATGTTTTGACAAAAAACCAGTCAAAAATAGCCAAAAAATAGTCAAACAACAATCCAAAAACAGTAAAAAAACAATCAAAAATAGTCAAACAATAGTCTGGGGACGATGTCTTGAGTACTGTTGGGCATCTTTTTGAACATTGTCTGAATATTTCTTATTGTTCGCCCCAAATCCCCCTGCAGGGGGACAGGCCCGACCTAACCCAAGCCCGCTGCACCGACGCACAGGTCCGGCTTCGACCATACGTAGGAGTGGCCCTTCGCCGAGTGACCTCGGGTGCCCCGATCGCCGCACGCGGTGCGATAGGAGCGTCTTGCGCGCTCGGGTTTTGGGCCCCCCGCGGCCCCCAGAAAGCCGCGCGCCAAAGGGCACTCTTACCCAGGGTCACTCTTGCGTGCAGCCGGCAGTTGTTTATGAGAGAAGTAAGAACACCCAAGTGAAAGCACTGTTGGGGGAATCCATGTACAGCCGCAGACCTGATCAACGCCTCCTGCTCTTTGTCCATCCCCCCTCCTGCGGTGCGATGCAGTGTAAAGCATCGCGAAGCGATTCAAAGCAGCGCACTGCGATGCAAACAAAAGTATAGCAATGCAGAGATACTCAAAGCAATGCAAAGCAGTGCGAAGCAATGCAAAGCAACGCGAAGCTATTCAGAGTGCAAGCTTTACACAAACAGAATCTTGGCCAAGAACCGCGGCGACGGACGGCCACGCGCCCGCTGGACCGGCCACCCGGGCCCTCGCACAAGTAAAATCGTGACAGAAAGGACGGCGGCGACGAGTGGCCACGAGCTGGCCCGGCCAACGACCAGGCCCACTTCAGTAGAGTGGAAGTAAGAACCACCGAGTTCAAGCATCGGGGAAACTGGTCCCCCCGGATCGGGGGGGGCTAGGACGAGGACAGAGCCGTTCCAGAGCGTTCTGGACCGCTCTCAGAGCGTTCCGGAACGCTCTGAGAAGGCCGCGGCGCCCGAGGCATCCTCCAGAAACGCAGATTCTCAGAGATTCTCGATTTACCTTCACCCGATTTTATCCTCGTCCTGGCGTCGTCTTACCAGAAGGTGGTCGAGAGGCCAGGGGAGTCCACGTCGCGATGGGGCGGGAGCGTCGTGCAGCATCGCCGATGCATCGGCGATGTGGCTCGACGTAGAGCCCGATTTTCTCTAAGTCGACGTCGCCGACGCATCGCCGACGTCGCCGATGCATCGGTGATGCATCGGCGATGCGGCGCGATCCTCCGAGCCACCTGCTCGGACCCCATCAAGAAGGCCTTTGCACATCGAGATTCGCAGGTGGCAGGCGCAGAAGTCAACACGCGGATTTCGGGTTGGCCTCGCGCGCGCCCCGGGAGGGGGCAGGTTCCTGGTCGGAAGGATGGCGGTAGCCACCGACACGGCGGCGGCGACGAGCGACGACGGCGTGGACGAACGACGACGGCGTGGACGAGGCTTGGCGAACGATTGCTGCAGCGCCGTTGGAGGGGCGCTGCCTGCGGAAGGGGGAGGCGAAGAAGGGCAAGAGGGGTGGGATGACTAGGGGGGCTGGACATCATGGCGGGAGGCATAATATCTCCCCTGATTTCATGGCGCCTCGTCCTATTTCAATGCGTCCCCGCCCACCCACCCCGGGCCGCGCACATGCCGCCGGCCATGATTTGTGCCCCCCCCCTCTTGGACGCCCCCCTCTTGGCCGCCCCCGATGGTTGGCCGAATGTTGACCAGCGGGTTTCTGCATCAGCTGCGTGGGGCCTTTGGTCGGCCACGCGCAGAGAGGGGCAGGGGGAGGGAGGGTCGGCTCCCTAGAAGCACCCCTGCTACCCAGAAGGCGCGGGCTTTGTCTGTCGATGTAAGGCCCGCGCCTTCTAAGAAGCGGCCTCCTTCTAAGAAGCCTTCCCCCCTCCCCCGAACCCCTTGTGCGCGCCGCCAATTGGGTCGAGGCCACGCAGCCACCCTGCTGATGGACATCATCCCTGGGCTGAACCAGACCGCTGGTCGCGCTGCGGCTTCAAGGATGAACGTTCTTGTGGGTGTCCCATGCTTCTTTGAGCTTCCCTCCGCTGAGCGGCGCCTCTGCGTAATTCAACGGCGGGCGAGTGCCGCCTGTGCCGCCCCTTGCGCGGCGCGGTGAGCGAGCGGCGCCTGCGCCGCCCCTTGCGCGGCGCGGCGCCGCCAGTCGACCTGCCCGCTCAGTACTTATCGAAGACGCCCACGGGCTCCCTGCCTTTTAGGATTCGCCTACGTGGCCAAACTTTTGGGCACAGCTCGGCTACGCTACTGGACCATGCGTTCCCCCAGCCGTTGTGGAAGCCTTTCGGGGAACAGGCTGGGGAGGAACAGGAGGATGAGGAGAGGGAGGAAAAGCGAGGATGATGAGAAGGATGAGGAGACCCGTTGGGAGCTTCTTGGGTTGTTCTTCGGGCCTCCTGGGAGTCTCTTGGAGGCCTCTGTGGGGCCTCCTTGAGCCTCTGTGTGTGGGGGGCTTTGGGGGCTTCTTGGGGGCTTCTTTGGCCGTCTTACGGCGTTCCTGGCCCGTCAGGTGCCGTCGGGCGCCGTATTGGGAGCCTTTCTGGGCCGTCTTGAGGCCGTCTTGGGGCACTTCAGGGTCGTTTTGAAGGCCATATTGGGCGTCTTGGAGGCCTCTTGGGCCGTCTTGGGGTCCTTTGGGGGCCGTCTTGCCCTCGGGCCATCTTGGGGGCCTCTCGGGTGATCTTGGGCCAATCTTGGGGGCCTCTTGGGCGTATTGGGCAGTCGGAAGGCCGTTTTGGAGCAAATGCCAAAACTCTTCACGCACGTAACGAATAACGTTGTTCTTGCTCATCGTAGGGCCCTCCTGGAGGACCTCTTGGAGGCCTTTTGGGGCTCATGTGGGCCTCTCGGAGGCCTCGCGGGCCCGCCTGGGCAGTCTTGGAGTCATCTTGGGCCGACGCGTCCTTCTCCTCCTCCCGCCTCCTCCTCCGCCTCCTCCTCCTCCTCCTCGTTCTCCTCGAGGCCGCCATCTCGCGGCCATCGCGAGCGCCTCGCGGCCCCCGGCGGTCGTGAGGCCTTGCACTTGCGTGCGGGTTCACCTTCCTTACGAACCTGCTTGTTGCTGCCCTTTTGCACGCGTAGTATTTGGTGTATAGCGGCGGCGGGCTCACGCTTCGTCTCCTCCCCCCCCGACTCGAAAGTGAGCTGGGGCACAGGCGAGAGATAGCGAGCGTTTGTCCGCGGCCGTTTGTGTTCAAGCGGCCTGCCGCCAACGTATGACTGCGCCTCATCGCGAGGCACACAAATTGCCATCGAGACCGAAAACATATTCGCTTGAGATGGCCCGCCGCGGGCCTCGGGACGGCTCGGACGCCGCCGCCGCCGCCGCCGCCGCCGCCGCCGACGACGACGACGACGACGACGACGACGACGACGATGGCGACGGCGACGGCGACGGCGACGACGACGACGACTGCCTTTGACGTCTTGGAGGCCATCTTGTGGCCGTCTTGGCCGCCTTGGAGGCCATCTTGAGGCCATCCCGAGGCCACCTGGAGAGTCTTGGGTCGACTTGTTGCGGCCGTCGTGGGTCGCTTTTCGGAGGGCCCGCGGGCTGGGCGCCGGGGCCCCACGGGGAGCTCTCCCGAGAGCCCAAAAAGAACCACCCAGACGTTCAGCACGCCAGGCCCCCCTGTGATGCAGTGGGGGCGCGCATCAAGACACCATTCGCTTTTCGTCGGGGTACCCTGGGTTGCTTCGCTCCGCGCGCCGCGCGGTTTTTTCCCGCGGCCTTCAAAAGGAGCTGCTGCGTTCAGAGTGTCCAGGGCTTCCCCTCAGGTGCACCTCGCGCGCGGGCTTCCGATAACCCAAAAACCACCCAGACGTTCAGCACGCCAGGCACGCCTGTGACAAAAGAAGGATGAGGACCCAGACCCCCTCGCGCTTGAAAAATCACGACGGGAAGTTTTCTGCTACGTTCGACCTCCGGGGGCCCGAGTCTTTTTGTTGACGCTCCCGAGGCGCGGTGAGGGCCCCGAGGGGCCGCAGAGGGCGAAGAGCCTCCCGTCATGATCTTTGGTGACGCGCGGGGGGCTGGGGACGCTCCACACTAGACTCCCGAGAGATCCTCCAAGGCTTCAGGGCGCCTTCCTCGCTAATCTAGGCCTAGATGGGGCCGAGTAGATGGGGTCGGAGCGCCGATGCGTCGACGATGCATCGCCGATGCGGCCCGATGTGGAGCTCGATTTTCTCAACGCCGACGTCGAGGATTCATCACCCACGTCGACGCTGCATCGGCGATGCGGCGCGATCCTCCGACCCTAACTACTCGGACTCCATCCAGGAGGCCTCTCTGTGCGCGCCGCCAACTTACACCAACTCTGCCGCGCCCCCGCAACCAGCTCGGCCACCCTGGCGTGCTGCTGCTGCTGCCCGCCGCTTCGGCGCCGCACTGCGCCGCCGTCCGGGCAGACAAGTCGAGGGCGACGAAGAGCCCCTCCATTGGTCCACCTGGCAGGCTCCTTCTCCGTCTCTTGCTCCTCCACCTCCTCGCTCCTCCTCCTCCTCCTCCTCCGCCTCCTCCTCTTCCTCCTCCTCCTCTACCTCCTCCTCCTCCTCCTCCTTCTCCTCCTCCTAGTCGTTCCTCAACCTCGCTCCTCCCCGCTCACGACCACGAGTGGGGAAGCTGCTGGGACTACGTGCGCAAAGAATGGCACGGATCGACTGTAGCAAGCCATCCCTCACAACATGAAGAAGCTCTGCATGATGCTGCACGTGTGGTTCCGCCGCCTGGTGTGGCTGCCGCTGCTCATGAGGCCTCTGCGGCCACCCGCCAATGTAGTCCTGAGCCCCCCGTATGGCTCACCTCACCCCGCTCTTCCCCGTCGCTCCTGCCACCCACTCCTGCATTCCCAGCTCTCCAGAATGTTCCTCACGATTTACAGTCCGCCGCTCTCCGCATGTCTGGTCCTGTGCCCACAGTAGTACCAGTGCGCCTGAGCCCCCCGCTGAAGCCAGCTTGGAAGTAGACGCAGCGGCGGTCGGACGAGATCGGGATCACTTGCCCTCTTCTCGTGTCTTGCCCGCTTGCCCTCGTCTCTTCCTCTTTGAGTACGTGCACTCCTCCTCCTCCTCCTCCTCCTCCTTCTCCTCCTCCTCCTCCTCCTCCTTGCTCCTCCTCCTCCTCGTTGTCCTCCTCCTCCTCCTCCTCCTCCTCCTTCTCCTCCTCCTCCTCCTCCTCCTCCTCCTCCTCGCTCCTCGCTCCTGCTCCTCCTCCTCGCTCCTCGCTCCTTCTCCTTCTCCGCCTCGCTCCTCCTCCTCCTCCTCCTCGTCCTCCTCCTCCTCGTCCTCCTCCTCCTCCTCCTCCTCCTCCCCTCCTCCTCCTCCCCCTCCTCCTCTCTGCTCCTCTTCCTCGCTCCTCCTCATCCTCCGCCTTGCTCCTCCTCCTCCCTTCTCCTGCTCCTTGCTCCTCCTCGCTCCTCCTCCTCCTCCTCTCCTCCTCCTCCTCCTCCTCCTCCTCCTCCTCCTCCTCTCCTCCTCCTCCTCCTCCTCCTCCGCCTCCTCGTTCTCCTACTCGCTCCTCGCTCCTCCTCCTCCTCCTCCTCCTCCTCCTCCTCGCTCCTCCTCGCTCCTCCTCTTCTTCCTCCTTCTCCTTACGTCGAGAACTATGTGATCTAAGATTCTAGGGCCGAGGCCCTACCGCGCCGCCCTGCCCAGGGCCGGATCCCTGGATCCGACGGCTGCGCGCTCGCTCGCTCGCTCCTCGCTGGCACTCTCCTCTCGCTCGCCGTTCTGCCCTCACCGACCCCCCCTCCTTCTATTTCCCCTCCTCCTCCTCCTTCTCCACTTCCTCCTCATCATCACCCCCTCCCTACCCCTTCCCCGTCCTCGTCCCTCCACTGCTTCTTCTCCGCGCGCTCCTCCCCTTCCCTCTGGTCGGGGCAAGCAAATAGATGTTCCTCGGCGCCGTCGCCGATGCGGCCACAGAGCGCGCGTTCCCCGACGGCTGGTTCGCGAAGCCTTTGGGGCAACCCCGCGGGCCGTTGGGGCGCGGGGGCAGGCGGTCGGGGCAGCCCCGCGGGCCAAGCCGTTGGGACAACCCCGCGGGATTCGAGCGGGGAACAGCCGCGCTCAGGCGGGGGGCAGCATGAACCCGAGCTCTGCGGCGAGCTGCTCGGCCTCATCCCTGGACGTCTGCGCTCTCTTGTCGAACTCCAGGAGCGCCTTCCGCAAGGAAGCTGGCGGCCCGCGTTCCAGAAATCCGTTCGGATTACCAACGTGAAATGCGGGACTCATAGGGAGGGGGCCCCGCCTGAGACTTCCTCGCAATTCACTCACAGACGAGGCTCCTGCTTGATACTCCCTCCAACTTGAAGCCTGGGGAGCCCAACAGTGACGACAGTTACAGGTTGCCGACGACCCGCTCGGATTACCAACGTGAAATGCGGGACCCATAGGGAGGGGGCTCCCGCTTGAGACTTCCTGACAATTCGCTCACAGACGAGGCTCCCGCTTGATATTTCCTTCAAATTCAGGCGTGGGGACCCCAAATGTGGCGACTGTTACAGTTTGCCGATGACCCGCTCGGGTTACCAACGTGAAGTGCGGGACCCATACGGAGGGCCCCCCCGCCTGAGCCTTCCTCACACTTCACTCACAGATCAGGCTCCCGCTTGATACTTCCTCCAAATTCAGGCCTGGGGATCCCAAAAAGTGCAAAGTTACAGGATGCCGATGGCCCGCTCGGATTACCAATATGAGTTGCGGGACCCATAGGGGGGGGGGTCCCGCCTGAGACTTCCCCACAATTCACTCACTGACGAGGCTCCCGCTGGATACTTCTTCCAACTTGAAGCCAGCGGAGCCCAACAGTGACGACAGTTACAGGTTGAGGATGACCCGCTCGGATTACCAAAGTGAAGATAGAGCGGGACCTATAGGGAGGCCCCCCCCCCGCCTGAGACTTCCTCGCAATTCACTCACAGACGAGGCTCCCGCTCGATACTTCTTCCACACTCAAGCCTGAGGAGCCCAAAAGTGACGACGGTTACAGGTAGCCGATGACCCGCCCGGATTACCAACATGAAGTGCTGGACCCATAGGAAGGGGGCTTCCGCTTGAGACTTCCCCACACTCCAGTCACAGACGAGTGGGTGATGACGAATTGATGAACGAGTGATGATGATGGGTGATTGATTGACGCTGATAGTGATGAGTGGGCCAGAGAGCGAGTGATCGAGTGATGATGATGGTGATGATGATGAATGATGATGCTGAGTGATCGTGTGATGTTGATGGTGACTGGTGGTGATGATGATGACGAAGCTATGAGTGAACGTGTGGTGATGATGATGATGATGGTGATCGTGCGATGCTGATGAGGATGAGTGTTCGTGCGATGTTGATTGTGATGCTGATGGTGATGATGATGACGATGATGATGCTGATGATGACGAGTAGGGAGTGATGGTGGTGATGGTGATGAGGAGGAGGAAGCAAGGAGGAGCAAATGGGAGGGAGGAGGAGGAAATATCCTGCGCGGAGGGTGTGCAGAGAAACCAAAAACCCCACTCAGGATGTGGGGAAAGAAAAATACGTCGACGGAGTGACCCCACATGAGAATATGTTTAGCTTGCCCTTACCCTTCTCCTCCTCGCCCTGACGGACACTCCTCTCGCCCGCCGTTTTGCCCTCACCTACCCCCTCCTTATATGTCTCCTCCTTCCCCATTTCCGCCTCATCATCACCCCCTCCCTACCCGTTCCCCGTCCTCGTCCTTCCCCTGCTTCTTCTCCGCGCGCTCCTCCCCTTCCCCCTGGTCGGGGGCAAGCACATCTATTTTCCTCGGCGCCGCCGCCGCCGCAGCCAGAGCGCGCGCATTCCCCGACGGCTGGTTCGCGAAGCCTTTGGGACAACCCCGCCGGCCGTTGGGGCGCGGGGGCAGGCGGTCGGGACAGCCCCGCGGGCCAAGCCGTTGGGACAACCCCGCAGGTTTCGAGCGGGGCGCAGCCGCGTTCAGGCGGGAGGCAGCATGAACCCAAGCCTGGTCCACAATCCACTCACAGACGAGGCTCCCGCTTGAGACCTCCTACAAGTTCAGACTTGGGGAACCCAAAAGTGACGACAGGTACAGGTTGCCGATGACGTGTTCGGAATACCAACATGAAATGCTGGACCCATAGGGAGGGGGTTCCCGCCTGAGACTTCCTCGCAATTCACTCACAGACGACGCTCCCGCTTGACACTTCCTCCAACTTGAAGCCAGGGGAACCCAGAAGTGACGACAGTTACTGGTTACCGATGACCCGCTCGGATTACCAACATGAATCGCGGGACCCATGAGGAGGGGGCTGCCGCCTGAGACTTCCTCGCAAGTCGTTCACAGACGAGGCTCCCGCTTGATGTTTCCTCGAAATTCAAGCCTGAGGAGCCCAACACTGGCGACAGTTACATGTTGCAAATGACCCGCCCGGATTACCAACATGAAGTGCTGGACCCATAAGGAAGGCCCCCCCGCCTGAGACTTCCTCACAATTCACTCACTGACGAGGCTCCCGCTTGATACTTCCTCGAAATTCAGGCCTGAGGAGCCCGCAAATGACGACAGTTACATGTTGCCGATGACCCGCTCGGATTACCAACATGAAATGCGGGACCCATAGGGAGGGGTCTCCCGCTTGAGATTTTTTCATAATTCATTCACAGACGAGACCCCCGCTGGACACTTCCTCGAAATCAAGGCCTCAGGAGCCCAAAAGTGACGACAGTTACAGGTTGAGGATGACCCGCTCGGACTACCAACATGAAGCGCGGGACCCATAGGGAGGGGGCTCCCGCCTGATACTTCCTCACAATTCACTCACAGACGAGGCTCCCGCTTGATACTTCTTCGAAATTCAAGCCTGAGGAACCCAAAAATGACGATAGTTACAGGTTCAGGATGACCCGCTCGGATTACCAACGTGAAGTGCGGGACCCATGGGGAGGTGGTTCCCGCTTGAGATTTCTTGACAATTCACTCACAGACGAGGCTCCCGCTTGATAGTTCCTCGAAATTCAAGCTTGAGGAACCCAAAAGTGACGACAGTTACATGTTGAGGATGACCCGCTCGGATTACCAACATGAAGTGCGGGGCCCATACGGAGGGAACTCCCGCTTGAGATTGTTTTCGCAATTCATTCACAGACGAGGCTCCCGGTTGATACTTCCTCGAAATTCAGGCCTGAGGGGCCCAAAAGTGACGACGGTTACATGTTGAGGATGACCCGCTCGGATTACCAACATAAAGCGCGGGACCCATTGGGATGGGGCTCCCGCTTGAGATTTCCTCACAATTCACTCACAGACGAGGCTCCCGCTTGATACTTTCTCGAAATCAAGGCCTGAGGAGCCCAAAAGTGACGACAGTTACATGTTGAGGATGACCCGCTCGGATTACCAACATGAAGCACGGGACCCATAGGGAGGGGGCTCCCGTTTGAGATTTGTTCACAATTCGCTCACAGACGAGGCTCCCGTTTGATACTTCCTCAAATTCATGCCTGATGAGCCCACAAGTGACGACAGTTACAGGTTGACGATGACCCGTTCGGATTGCCAACATGAAGTGCGTGACCCATAGGGAGGGGGCTGCCGCCTGAGACTTCCTCACAATTCACTCACAGACGAGGCTCCCAACTTGATACTTCTTCAGAATTCAGGCCTGAAAGTGACGACAGTTACATGTTGA